CCTGCATTCACAGCACGCGGCTAATATCAATCAGACAAAACAAACGACCTGAAAAAGTCTTTTCGCTGTCTTGTTCGTTGTTTTCCGACTTCTGTCTGTCCGTTGTTTTAGGAGTCTGGCAGTGCAACGCTGGCAGGAGATTACGTGGAAATGGAGATGGATGAATTGAACCAGCATGAGTGCATGGCTAGCATGGTAGCTCTGATTAACCACCTAGCAACGACCGTCTGTCCCATACAGGTATGCCATGTTACACCTGGTTATCACAGGGTTAGTGAGTAACTAACTATGTATTGATAGACAGATGGATGGATGAATGGGTGGATGGATAGATCGATAGGTGGATGGATGAATGAACGGACGGACAGACGGATATATGGACGGACGGACCGATGCACAGACAGACAGATAGATAGACCAGGTTATCTCAGGTTAGCTGCTGATTATATGTGTACCCTGGTACTGGGCCGATAATAACCAATTTACATGAATACAGATATCTGCCATAGACTTGGGTATTCTTATTAGAAAACTGTATCCGAGCGTGTATGTTATATCTCGATTTACTGCCTAGATGCCACACCAAAATTCCTTTAATTTGTCAAGAATATTAAAAAAGAGATGTTGTTTATCACATTGAAAGCATTATTCTCGGTCAAGCATTATGGAAATATCCATACGTAACTGTAACGTCTGCATGTATTTCTTCCTGGCTGTTGCAGGCTGCCTCCTCTCCCGCTCACACACGCTCACACTGTACGTCTGCACGTATTTCTCCCCGGCTGTTGCAGGCTGCCTTCTCTCTCCGGCTCACACACGCTCACACTGTAACGTCTCCACGTATTTCTCCCCGGCTGTTGCAGGCTGCCTCCTCTCCGCTCACACTGTAACGTCTCCACGTATTTCTCCCCGGCTGTTGCAGGCTGCCTCCTCTCCCGCTCACACACGCTCACACTGTAACGTCTCCACGTATTTCTCCCCGGCTGTTGCAGGCTGCCTCCTCTCCCGCTCACACTTAACGTCTCTCACGGTATTTCTCCTGGCTGTTGCTAGGTGCCTTCCGTCTGCCGCTCAACAGCGCTACACTGTACGTCTCCACGTTTTCTCTCGGCTGTTGCAGGCTGTCTCTCTCGCTCAAACACTACACACTGTACGTCTGAGTATTTCTCCCGGCTGTGCAGGCTGCTCCTCTTCCCGTCACACACGCCACACTGTTAACGTCTCAGTATTTCTCGCCGGCTGTTGCATGGCTGCCTCCTTCCGTCACACACGTCAATCTGTAAGTTCGCCAGTTTAACGTATTTCTCCGGCCTGGTTGCAGGCTTCTCTCTCTGTCACACACGTCTTCACACTGTAACGTTCTCACGTATTTCTCGGCGGCTGTTGGCAGTTTGCTCCTCTCCCGCTCAACACTGTAATCGTCTGACAGTATTCCCCAGCTGTTGCAGCGCCTCCTCTCCCGCCCAGCACACGCTCACTGTAACGTCTGCACGTTATTCTCTCCGGCTGTTGCAGGCCGCCTCCTCTTTCCCGCGCACACCACGCTCACTCACTGTAATCGTCTCTCAGTATTTCTCACGGGCTGTGCGAGGGCTGGCCCTTCCTCTCCGCTACAACGCTTCACACTATAACGTCTTGCAGTTTTCTTCCTCCGGCCTGTTGCAGGCTGCCTCCTCTCTCGCTCACAACACGCTCACACTGTAACGTCTGCACGTATTTCTCCCGCTGTTGCAGGCTCCTCCTCGTCACGGCTTCATCACACGCTCACAATGTAACGTCTCATCGTATTTCTCCGCGCTGTTGCAGCGCGTGCTCCTCTCCGCTCACACTGTAACGTGCTGCACGTACTTTTCTCCCTAGCTGTTCGCAGGCTGTCTCTTTCCTGCCAGCACACGCTCACACTGTAACGTCTGGCACGTATTTCTGCTCCTGCTGTTGCTAGCTTGCCTCCTCTCCGGGCACACACGCTCACACTGTACGTTCTGCACGTCTATTTCTCTCCGGTCTGTTGCACGGCTGGCTCCTCTCCGCTCACACACGCTTCACACTGTAACGTCTGCACGTCATTCTCCCCGGCTGTGCATGCTTGCCTCGCTTCTCCGCTAACACACGCTCTACACTGTAACGTCTGCACGGTATTGTCTCCCTCGCTGTTGCAAGGCCTCGCTTCCTCCTTCCCGCTCACACACGCTCACACTGTAACGTTGCCACGTATTTATCTCACCCAGCTGGCTTGTTTTGCTCCCTGCTCATTTGCTTTAAAGCGTGACATGGCTGCTCCTCTCCCGCTTACGACATCGCTCACATCTGTAATGTCTAGCATGTATTTCTCACCGGCTGGTTGCAGGCTGCTCCTCTCCCGCTCACACACGCTCATACCACTGTAACGTCTCCACGTTTTTTCTCCGGCTGTTTGCAGCCTGCCTCTCTCCCGCTCATATCACGCTCACACTCGTTAACGTCTCCACGTCATTTCTCCCGGCTGTTGAGTGTGTGCCTCCTCTCCGCTCCACACACGTTCACACTGCTAACGTCTCCAGTATTCTCCTTCGCTGTTGCAGGCTGTCCTCTCTCCCGCTCACTCTACTCGAACAGTAACGGTCTCTCACGTTATTTTCTCCCGGCTGTTGGCAGGCTTGTCCTTCTCTCTCGGCTCATCACTGTATTCGTCTCACGTATTCTCGGTGATGCGTAGGCTGCTCTCCCTCCCCGTCACACACGGCTCACACTTGCTTAACGTCTGCAGCTTTTCTCCCGGCTGTGGTGCAGGCTGCCTTCTCTCTCCGGCGTCACATGGTATGCGTCTTCGCACGTATTTTCTCCCGGCTGTTGCTAGGCTGCTTTCTATCTCGCTCACCTCACGCTCACACTGTTAACAGTTCTGCAACGTTATTTCTCGGCCGGCTGTTGTCAGGCGGCTCTCTCCCGCTCACAACACGCTCATCACTGTAACGTCTGCAGTATTTCTCCCGGCTGTTGCAGGCTGCGTTCTCCTCGGGTCTCACACGCGCTCCAACTGTAACATACTGCAGCTATTTCTCCGGCTGCTTGCAGGCTGTCTACTCTCCCGCCACCACGCGCTCCACACTGTAAACCGTCTGCCACGTATTTTCTCCAGCTTGCTTGCAGGCTTGCCTCTCTCCCCGGTCACACAATTTCACAACTGTAAGTCCTTGCCACGTTTATTTTTCTCCTGAGCTGTTGCAGGCCTGCGCCTCCTCTCCTCGCTCCACACGCTCACACTTAACGCTCCTGGCACGTATTTCTCGCGGGTGTTGCAGGCTTGCCTTCTCTCCGCGCTCACTTCACACGCTCACATGATCCGTTGCACGATATTTTGCCCCGGCTGTTGCAGGCTGCTCCTCTCCCGCCACACACGACACAGCTGTAACGTCTCCGCGTCCGTAGTTTACTCCCGGCTGTTGCCAGGCTTGCCTCCCTTCTACCGCGCTTCACAACACGTCACACGTGTCAACTGTTGACGTATTTCTTGGTGCTCCTCACGGCTGCTTGCTAGCGTCGCTGCTCTCACTTCCTTCCTCGCTCACACACGGCTCACACATGATTCACGTCTGCACGTATTTCCCCGGGCTGTTGCAGCGCTGCCTCTCTCTTCCCGCTCACACCACGCTCAACACTTGTAACGTCTTCACGTATTTCTCCACGGCTGTTGCAGGCCTGCCTCCTGCTCGCTTCGCTCACACAGCCATTTACACTCGTAACGTCTGCAGGTATTCATCCTGGCTGTTGCAGGCTATCTCTCTTCCCGCGCCACTTGCTCACGACTGTTAACGTCTGCCACGTTATTTTCTCCCTCCGGGCTGTTGCAGGCTGCTTCCTCTTCTCCGCTCACATGTCGGTGGATGGAGCTGCCTTCCTCGGGCAAAAGTTCTGCGCACGCGTGCGACGCCGTCAACGTCGCGCGTCTTCATTCGCGCGTTCCTCCGTCGTGTCTCTGCGTCGCACGCGTTGCCGGACATGTGCGCATGCCTCGCCTGGGCTGCCGCGTCCAGCATTCGTCGTCCGGTCCGCACGCGTAACGGCAAACTCGCCGGCGTCGCCGCCGGCCTCCGATTTACACTCATATAGCTGGACGGCCGACGTCGTGTGTGATGCATGTCCTGTGGACGCCGTTCGCGCCTCCCGTCAGGTGCCTCTGCTGACGGCTGTTCTAGTGTTTTATTTGTGAATGTGTAATAATGTTAATGGGCACCCGTGATTGCGAGATGGACTACAGCTGTTGCTACGTGTTATAGCTCATTGATATAGTCAGATGCAGCTTTGTGAATTCGCGATGATCGTCCGTTCCGTTCTCCGTCCGTCCGTGGATGGTCCGGTCCGGTTCCAGTCGTTCCGTTCGGCACAATCTTTAACCGCTGGACTCGTCGTCATCGAATTTCTCGGGACTGGGGGGGGTAATCGAAAAAACGATTTGTGATGTTCGAAGGCTGGGGGCGTTCATTCAAAGGTCAGATGATCAACGAGGGTTGTAAACTGAGAAGGGCGGAACATGTGCACGTCCTTTAACTTAATGGTTATAGGGAGGGAAATGCAGTAATTGTTCTCCGTCACGGCGTCGTAACCGGCACAAATCTAAACGGTGCGACCTAAGGTCTCGTGATAGTGGTTTTTGGTCTTATAGCATGCCACTGGTGAGGAATTAAGCTCATCACTGGTCCGATTGCGAGGGTCACAGGTCAAAGGTCACATGGGCACAGGGCAGATTTTAGACCAATTTTCTGAGCGACATGCGTCAAGTCTGGGCGCAAGCGATTTTGAAAAAACTTTTTTTGTTTCGCAGCCTGGGCCTGACCTAGCATTTTTTATGGCCATTATTAAAAGACCATGAAAATCTGACTTTTCTGTCTGACATGCGAAGGACGTAAGTGTTCAGATAAACCTTTTTGACCCTCAAGAGGAGGGTCTAACCATGCGATTTGTTGGGACTGTCTGTTAGAAAGAATTTTGTCACTGCCCTGGCTGTTTGTAGATAGAATCAATACATGCCTGGATGTTGGCGCATTCACAATTGCTTCACATGTGAAATTTCAAAAGCTAAATCTTGGTTAAGATGGTTTTATGCTCCTTAAAAATCGTGTATAATTTCATATGCATTCTGTTTACTGTCAGTATGTTACATGTGACACGTATGTCCACCTCGCCATGTAGCGCTAATCTGCCAGTGCATTGTTGGTGATACCGCCTCATTGTAGTTTTTCCTCTGTGTTATTTGTGTATACACGGTCGCCAGCTCTTCTATTGCAGCCTGATAGGCTTGCGTAGTAAATGGAGACGTGCTATACCGTATTCTGTCTTGCTGGCATAAGAGTTGTTGCTATACTACGATATGATGGTGAGCTCCATCTTTACACTGAGCAACTCTAAACGTACGCGACACATCTCGTGGCAACTTTCTATACTCCCGACCGAACATTCCTATATGAGAAAGTTGTTCCTGATACTTCTATCCCTGTGCCATTCCACTGTTTTCGGCCTGTTGCTCTGCTCCCGTCGTGTATTGTGATACACGATTTGGGACTAACAGGGTTTACTAGAATCCCACCACTCCACCACAGAGTCACCGCAGTAGACGTTAGATGAGTGCTGTCGCTCTGCGGCACTTGTTATAGCATGTGAGTGTTCGTGTCTTTGACGCCTCTCATGTGACTATAGGTATGCCGTCTACTGACGACTGTTCTGGTGTTTATCATACGCTATGATATCATTGATGGATTTTGTTTCTAGATGTTCTCTCATACTGCCATCTGGTGACAACCTCAAGCAATCTCCTTCACCTTAAGTATAGTAACTATGCTGGTAGTCTAAACAATCGTTAGCGAGTTAGTAAAATGAATTTATCATGAAATAAAATTACTCTTATACTAGGACGAACTCCTTCCTAAGATTTGTATGTATAGTCGCATATCACCGTTGTCGTTTCGCAGGACAACATGACGGAGCGATCGCTGGCATCACGTCTGCTTGAGTTTCTCATGCGTAACGCACGCCACGCGACGATGTCGGTCTTCCGCAACAACCTAGAAATCATCAAGACGCTGGTGGAATGCTGGAGAGATCGCGTGGACGTGCCATCGCAGGTAGTCTCACCCCCTGTACTAATTACCCCACCCAAAAACAAGATGGCCGTTTGATGTTCCTCTTCTTAACCGGAATTCAAAAACTGCGATGTGTTGGAAATATGTGTTCGTTATGTATTGACGTTGAAATACCATTGTGTAATTGATTATTCGTGCACAATAAAATTCTGAAAGAGCGTGTTAATATCTATCTTCTATATCTATATACATATATATATATATAGGTTATGATATGCCATTTCTTATTCTATATGTTATAGAAATATATTTGTTATCTTCTTAATAAAGTTATTGATGTTTCACCAACTGGGTTTCATGCATGAAAACGACATTCTGGTGTCTGCTGCCTTCACACGTCGTGGTTTCAACCCAAGAAAACTGTCGCATTAAAACTACCCACCAAAAAATCGAGCTAAACACCAATAAACTCATGCCCGCACGTCTACGTTTACCTTGCTTAGGTGATCTATGAGAACATGTGTGCCGGCGACATCACGATGAGGGATAACTCTGTCGGTGTGCAGCTGCTTGGTGTCGTGGTAGCAAACAACCTGCCTCCCTACTCACACACCACCGCTGTTGACAGCGAGAAGTAAGACATTCGCTGCACACACGCAAACCTGGTCAATACTGTACAACTTCATACCTCAGACCCTACTATAATCTGAAATGGAATCGTGTAACTTGAAATTCTGACACTTAGATTTAAAATTTAAAATAATGTAATAGAAAAATAAATAGCTAGTGTAAATGTATATTATATATATATATATAAAGGCTCATAATTGCACAAACTTCTCTAGTGATTATGAATATTAAGGTAAGTACTCCTGATGGATAGCCGTGGCATGAGACACAATATGAGTTTCTACTATTTATATTTATTATAATTTTCACATTTAGGTAAAAGAGGAGTTGTTGTGACAGTGTCCGGACTTTACATTTATGCCCTCTGTCCTTCCTTTATCGCTTCCTCTCTTTCGTCTTCCAGGTTCTTTCAGGCAATCGTTAGGTGCCTGGCAAACAAGTACAAGGAGGTGTACGCTGCCGCAGCCGAGGTGCTGGGAATGATCCTGCATCGTATGGTGGAGCGAGAGGATGAGGAGGCTGAGGGAGCGCTGCGGGATGCGGTCGTCACGGCGATGTCGACGCTGCATGCTGACGCCAAGCAGAACTTTATTGTCTGCCTGCAGAAGATGACGCTGCATTATCCTGCCATCGCGGACAGTACGTGGTGACAAGTGCGCAGTGATAGTGTGTGCTGACAGGTACGCGGTGACAGGTGTGTGGTGACAAGTGCGCGGTGACAGGTGTGTGGTGACAGGTACGCGGTGACAGGTGTGTGGTGACAAGTGTGTGGTGACAAGTACGCGGTGACAGGTGTGTGGTGACAAGTACGCGGTGACAGGTGTGTGGTGACAGTTGTGTGGTGATGGGTGTGTGGTGACAGTTAATTTGTGTGGTGATGCGTGTGTGGTGACAGGTGTATGGTGACAAGTACGCAGTGATGGCTGTCCAGTGGTGCATGTGTGGTGACAGGAGAGGTAATGACAGCTGTGAGTGACAGGTATCTGGGACAAGTCTGTGGTGACAGGTGTGTGGTGATACAAACCTGTGTCATGTGGTTCATGTGCCAGGTTCCATCATGTTGTGTTGTGATCCATGGTTCATGTACTAGATGTCTCATACATCGCATCGTGCCACAGCCAGCGATTTCATACTATACTGCTCTCTTTCCTTCTGTGTGTTTCAGATTAATGAGTAAGTTACTCTTCATGCTGCCCAGTCTGCAAGGTAGCTTCAGATCTCAGTGTCTTGAGGTGATCCTAACCCGTGTCGCTCACACGCAAAACCTCTTCCTCGAACTAAAGTCCAAGGGTTTCCTGGGAATGATCACTCACAGGTGGGTCGATGAATCTAAGATATCATGGAAATATAAATTTTTTAATATTTAAAAATCTCATATAAATTTGCGAGGCACAGCTCAGCTACATAAGCATAATAATAATAATAATAATAATGATAATAACAATATCATTAATAAAAATATAGTACAGTTACAACATATATGTAATCAGAAGTGAATAAAAACAGACAGCAAAACAACAATTTGTTTTTATTTATTCCTGATGTAATATGTAACAATTGTAGCATTCAATTGTAGTAAGAATTCATTAATTGTTTGTGTTATCTGTTTATCATTAATTGTTTGTTTATTGTTTATTTATCATTGATTGTTTTTTTTATCATTGATTGTTTGTTTGTTGTTTGTTTTTCATTGGTTGTTTGTGTGTTGTTTGTTTGTTTATCATTGATTGTTTGCGGCTGTCTTGCGCAGGGATGAAGCGACCCAGCTTGCATCGCTGCACATCACCAACGCCTTGCTGAGCAGTCTCTCACCAGGGGAGCTGCTGTTCCTGCTGCCGGCTGTCACATCGATCGGCACGCACCCCCGCGCGCCGTGCCGTCAGCTGATGTACGACATTCTCATGTGGGTCTACGACAGCTACAGGTGAGTGCCAAATGTTATATATATTATATATATATATAATATACAGTATCTGTATGTAAGAGTCACTCAAAGGAAATGCCATTAGGTGTCCTTCATAGACACTTTATAGAGGTAAATGAAATGGTTAAGAATACAATAACAAAGCTTACTATTTCGAATAGTCAAGAAAGTATCAGTAATCCATAATATGTTTGATTTGTAGGGATAGTGAGGGAGAGGAGGAAGATAAGTTGGCATCACTAGCGAGGGACAGTCTACTGCAGGGATTGAATGACAGTGACGATTCACTCAGGTCTGTGTCACAAGCATCGTTACCGTAACACTCGCGTTAAGTCAGCATTTACACATACCTTCCAATGAATTGCAGTTGATCTATCCATCTAAGTGAGTTAACAAAACTGCCACCACCCTTTTACTAATACAGTCAATCCAGACCAGTTTGTACGTGGTGCATGGCGAAATGTCGGCTTATAGTAACATGTCAGCACTAAGCATTGTATTATCTTACTGTGTTCTCAGTCTGTGTTTTTAAGGAGAAATGCAGCACTACCCTTAATTGTTTAACTCTACAACGAAGTTAGGAGTGTGTATATTGTAGGACTAAGCTAACTACACAATTATTGTAGGATGATCGTCACAAATTTCTGGAGTCATGCGACGCGGCTGCCGACACAAACTCTCCCGCGACTGCTCGCCATCGCGCAGACGCTCTACTCCCCAGCAACGGAGCCTCACTTCCTTAGTTACGCGACCTACCTGCTGCTGCAGCTCACCTCTCTCAGTCCTGACTACAAGGAGCTGGTCTTCACACAACCACTGTCCGACTGTAAATTCCAGGTAATGCGGGCCAGTGTTGGGTCCGTAAATTGTTAGACATATCGATAATTATGTATAATTCGTAATTATAAAATTCATACAATAAAACATATTAAATTATTACTGAATTTCTAGTAAATAGTTAATGATATTTGCATTTATCATGTGGTGTTTAATATCTGGTTATAGAACAGCGGGAGTACATTATTACAAGATTTGTTATATCTATCATGCACTCCTGATAATGTCATATAATCGGAATTAATGATTCTTAAACTAACTAAACTAACTAAATTCATTAAATATTATTTTTATATTATTAAATATATATATATTGAACATCATTTATTTTATAATCGATTGAAATCTCAGTTTAATTGCATACATTATTTATATATTATGTAATTATTATTATAACAACATATCCATCATGTTCACATTAATAATTATGAGTTCTCGGCACTTCCGTGTTCTCTAGGATTACAACATTGCGACATCATGGCAGAGTCGACATGCCGCGCTCACACCACTGTTCACCGAGACACAAGCATCGCAAGCGTCCTCTACGCAGCAGACGGTGGCTGCGGCGATGCAGACAGGAGAGATCAGGGCGACTCAAGTGGTGCCAGAGTTCACGGCCACACAGGATGTCGGTCAGTTGGGAAAACTGTAGCCTCTTCTGTTTTCGGATTGATATTGTTTACCTTGATTATGTTTGTAACCTTTACTTCACCTAGGCTTTTTTTCATCTATGTGACTGCATCTCGTGAAACGGTCATGATTTGTAATGAATAATTCAAATTAGATTAACCGAAGTTAATAATGAAAAACTTGATACCGATAACAATGGCAACATCAAAGGATGTGATTGAATAGAAAATTTTATCTTAAATGTGATACCAATATTGTACAGGTTTCATTCATGAGCGGTATCACTTACTAATGTTATCGATATTGTGTGTGATGATGTCATGGTGATGTCGTGATGACATCATCTCGTGTGTTTTTCTAGCTGGAGGCAGGAGCACGTATAACTGGCTGACGCAGAGCAGCAGCATCGACACATTCGCCGATCAGTCTCTCTCCTCCGTCTCCTCCATCTCCTCCTCCTCCTCATCCTCTCCCTACTCTTCACCGTCGGCCGATCACCACGAAACGCCAACTGAAGCCAAGCGGGCCCGGATTTGGGGAGAGGAGGCTGGGGGGCGAGCGGGGAGCCACGGGGGAGGAGCCCAGAGAGGAAGCCTCTGCTGCTGGGGGAGGAGACGACGTCATGCGGCTCCGAAGGAGATTCCTGAAAGATCAGGAGCAGACGAGAGTGTTCTTTGCACGGCGGGAAGCCCGGAGGAAGCAGCGGCGGGAGGAGGCGGAGACACTGAGCAGGCAGCGGAGGGAGGGACAGGTGACATGTACAGGAAGTACAGGATAGGAGACTGCCTGACGTGCAGATCCAGTTCTGCCATCTCATCTCACCACTGCAAGCTCTAGCACAGGTACGAGTTAGTATGATTAGTGCAGGCATGATATATATGATATATGATATATATATATATGTATATATCATGTACGTAATTACAAAGAGATTATTTGTATGAGATTATTTAAAAAAATAACAATAATAATAATAGTTATTATTATTATTACTATTGAATATTACATGGCTGTGGTCGTATCTTACCTCCCCCGGCGCGTTGCGTTGTAGAGGGACGCGCGTGTGGCTCAGCTGCTGTTCAGCTCTTTGTGTGACGGCGTCGTGCGCCGGGCCGGCGACACTGCGACAGAGAGGGATGTCGACGCGACGATGGAGAAGCTGAGCGAGGCGGTCTCCGTCATGGCTTCCTCTTCCACGAGTTACTTCTCCCCGTTCATCGGCTGCCTGCTGGTGAGCATCGATCTCTCCTTCGGCTTCCCTTCTTGTTTTTCCTTTATTTTTCATAAGAATGACCCTCTCGCATTTTTTGTGATCTTTAACTCTTTTTTTTATTTGTTATATTTAAGTTATATTTGCTGTGAAAATACGATTGAATGATTTCTTTGTTAGGTATGGTTTATATTTCTGTTTATGTTTGTTATCATTATGGTTAGATTGCTGCGTTATATCTATGTCATATTATTCTCACATAGCTATATTAGCTGTATGATAATGTTATAAATGATTGATGTCATATCATTCTCATCATGTAAGCTGTATAATAATGTTATGAGATAGATAGATAATAGGTTTATTGCAAAACTAGTATTAACAATGTTACAATTAAAATAAATTTTGCAAGCACGATATCATCAGGCAGTATAAAACTGAAATTGATGATATTTACAATAATATATGTCCCATGGTAAGACATATAGATATCACTTAAAATATTCATTGGTTCATAAAATTATATCGCTACAACTAAAATCATCTTTAAGAATATATACAATATTTAAAATAACGTGATCCTTAGTCAAAAATGGTTACAATTAAAATGCAACACAACGATAGAATCAAACATCACATAACCGAAAGTTGCCCAGATGATTATTTCAAAGAGACCAAAATGTTTATAAAGGGGCGCAAGCAAAAGACATTATCCATGCTATTGTAAAAAATTCAGTGCCTGTTTACAATTTGTTAATCATCCTGCACATTACGGAACAGTGCTATTGAAGTACCGGCTGGTACGAGGGACTTTTGCCAGCCGGAGTTTACTAGAATTCCGTGTTATGCAGTTAGACACATTTATTGCTGAAGGAGGGCAAATATCCTGTAATCGTTTACAACTTTTGAGCTGATAAGCAACATTTTCACAAAGCTGCTCGCGACGAAACGCAAGTCTTTGGATCTGAAGCTGAGATAGTACCTCATCGTACATGTCGTACCTATTTCAATTATTATAACCTATTATTATTTTCACTGCCCTTACTTGAACAGATTAAATTTGACGTGAGAGCTCTTTGGTAATTGGGCCGGGTGCCAGACGGGCGCGCAGCATATTCCAGAATCGGTCTGACGTAACTACAGTAAATTTGTACGAGATCTTCACAGCTAAGCCTAGATTTATTTAGTATACGAAGCATGAAGATTCTTTTACTGGCTCTAGCCACCAAATCTTGAACGTGTATCTCCCATTTAAGATCGTGCTGGAACCATACACCCAGGCTCTTCAATGTTGTCAAGTTTTCCAACTGAAAGTGTTCTAAAAAATGTTCAGCATCTTGACGTCTATTTCTACCAAAGTATACACCTGCATAACTTTGCATTTTGTAGGGTTAAGTTGATGCGAGAAAGTTGTTGAGATATGATGGAGCGTGGATCGACCTTGTCTCCAGTACTAGCTGTCATATCGTCAATGAATTTCCATTTCTGAACTAATAGTCCTTCAGCAGCATCGTTGATCATGGCCAAAAACAGTAGCTGGCCAAGCTTAGTGCCCTGGGGAACACCACATGTTAACCCGTGGTACTTAGAGGTAGACCCTTTGTACCGGACGCATTGTTGTCACATAGAGAGGAAATCGCTTATCCATGGTAGTAGTGATGGTCTGACTCTTAATTTATGGAATTTTTTTTAGCAGTGTTAATTTGTGGGACATATCAGGTCAAATGCTTTGCTGAAGTCAGTCACGACTATAGAGAGCTTATATTGTAAATAATTTGTCATTTCATATTCATCCTGTGAGCTGTATATAATAATATAAATATTTCATGTCATATCATTCTCACGATGTAAGCTACTTGGTAAAACAGTACACACACACACACACACAGGGCATGAACGCATACAATACTAATATGTAACACATACTGATGCACGACTGTGCGATTGTTACAGGATGTCTGCTACAGGAACATCAGCATACTGCGGTTAGACCCAGCAGTAGTGACGACAGTCAGTCAGACCAGCATGCAGCAAAACCTGGGTGAGGCGTTGTCTCTAATTCGCCTATCCGTTCGAGCGGCATTCGTTTAGTTTTTGATCGCGGCGAGTTTGAGGTTTGAAGAGTAACAAATGAGCATATTTATCACATTGCAGTACCTATAGTAAGTATTACATAGAGAGTCAACTACGTTTTTTGGTGGACACCCCTGTAGAACTAATACCTGTGTATAAAGGACACTTCTGGTATTTCCCTTGAGGGGTAGTTAATACAGGACAGCTGTATACAAGCAGTACTCTGTAGAGTGGACACCTGTCTATAATGCCTACTTTTTGGAGTTACTGTTGACTGACCCTTATATACAAGTTTGACTATACTTCGATGTCTTTTAGTATTGCTATGTATCTATAAGTATGGTTCTTATCTATCTTATATATATTTATAAATTAGATATAAATATCTTATATATATATTATACTAATATTAATTGTCTTTAGGTATTGTCCTATTGGAGAAGATGTTAATGCAGGGTGCCTGCGATGATGAGAGCAGGCCTGCTAAGCGCATGCGTGCAGGCTCCGGGATGGGCGTGTCACAGCACACTGATACCTGGATAGAACTGGCCAGGTAAGTTATCAGCTCATAGCCTCTCTCTATCTTACTCTATAACCCTGGGTTCGTTTTAGTTAATTAAAATTAACAGTCTTAACATTGGTCTTAACATTAACTTGTAGGCTGGACTTCTATACACTGCGTATGAGACACTCATAACTTTAACATGTTTCTGGAAACCGTCTATGAGAAAACGTTAATGGTTCGACTAATGATAAGACTAATTTTGTTTTTGACAACGAGCCCCGGGTCATTAAGTTTAGTCCACATGCCTGGGCGAGATAGTCATACCATTCTTACATATTGTTGTGTGGTGGATCAAGCACACCCAATTTGTACACTGTTTTACAAGTGTCCATGCTGAAATGTTGAGTTCATATCATTTTATTACTGAGCATCATCTTTAGAACACCATAATGCAATGCTGATTGGCTAGTAGAGCTGCCTGTCAATCATGCCAGACAGATAACACGTGCAAGTATTAAAATAATATGTAATTTATGAAGGAAAATATTGCTACAGTATTAACAGTGTTTTACCACTATGTCCTGGTGGAGTAGCATTGTAGACACAAGTGACTTTGTGTGTGTGTGTGTGCGTGCGTGCGTGCGTGCGTGCGTGCGTGCGTGCGTGCGTGCGTGCATGCGTGCGTGTGTGTAGGTGCGTGCGTGCGTGTGTGCGTGCGTGTTATCGTGATATACAACATGCAGTGTCTTTCTCACAGGCTGTACAAATCTCTCGGTGACTACGACACTCTCCACGGAATCTTCAACGATAAGATTGGTACGCAGACCTGCACACAGGAGGCGCTGCAAGCAGAGGCAAGCTGCGACTACAAGCTTGCACGCAAGCTCTACCAGAGGGCACTGGAGATGGAGTGGGGAGAGAGCGAAGGACCGGGTCAGGGGGAGCGCGACCTGTGGGATATCTCCCTCATGCAGGTGATCCACAGATGTTTGCTGCAGGATTAGGATTGCTCTTGGGTTCTCATCATTATTTTTTCATTTATTTAAATTTTATTATGCGTGTGTGTGTTATCATTTAATATAAATTTTCAATTAATACAATAATTGTCATTTTTTGTTAGTGTATTCAGACTTTTATAGGTAAATAATGATTTCTCCTATTCATGAATGCATATGTAGAGAGAAGAATATGTGTGTGGTAATATTTTACTTACTCATATAGAATGTCTAGGCATAGTTTAGGGCTGCATCATAAAGTATTTATTACATTAACCTTTGATCCAACCTTTGATGCAAACTCGTTTGATCCATAATTAGATTGTAACTTTAGCGACTTCCCTAAAGATGAAATCTATAATTGTTCAGATTGGTTGTTCTAGTTCTATGTACATTTTTGTCATGTAACTCGTAACGTGTTGAACATCGATCTACGAACAGTGCCTGGATCGCCTTACCGACTGGACAGCTCTGGATGCACACACAAAGGAGTGCTTAATACCAGAGGGCAGCAGCGAGGCAGACCTGCAACTGCTGTGGGAGGACACGTACTATGAAGAGAATCACCTCCCGTTCGTGATGCGCGCACGCCTCAAGAGGTTGCTAGTGGAGGGAGCGCGTGATCAGACGCTGCTGTCGTTTGTCGACGCGGCAACGGGGCATCCCGATCGCAGGGCCGTGATTGAGGCAAGTGCTGCCACCTGGTGGCGACGTTTTTAGTCACTCGTTTTTTTCTTTGTCGTTTGTTTTTTGTGGTTTTCTTTATTGAAGGAACTCGGAAACTTGACGTTAAAGAAAACTTTTAATGTTTTACATTCAAGCAACTGTGTGTATGTGTGCGTGTGTGCGTGCGTGCGTGCGTGCGTGCATACGTGCGTGCATGCAGGCATGTGCGTGTGGGTGCGTGCGTTTGTTCGTGCATGCATTCGTACATGTAGCTGGTTATGAAACACCGTGTCTGTGTGCATACCTATAGTTATAAAACACAGTGTCTGTGTGCGTAGCTGGTTATAACATGGTGTATCTGTCTGTGTGTGTGTAGACGTGGCATGGGGAGGAGCTGGCACTGCTCTACATCGTACAGGGGGACTACACGCGCGCACGCCACCATGCCGCGCGCTGTCTGCAGGCGTTCCTGCGCGACTGGGCATCCCTGGATGCGCTCATGCTGGCAAGCCGGGCCGCGAGACTCCGCAGCCTGCAGAAACTCACCGAGATGAACGAATTCCTCGACGCCATCACCGCCACGCCCGGTACATGTGCTGCCGTCTGTGAACGCGTAAAGTCATGACCGCGTAACGAGTGAGGTCCCGAGTGGATGTAGCTAAGGTTGCGGTGGGAAGGGGGATTTCGAGGGAGGGTGAGCAAGAGTAGCGCGTCTCACCGGGTGTTAGATTGTGGTGGGAGGGACGTAGGATGTTTAGAAGAGAGGGAGATGTTGGCTTTCATATTTTGAATGGTTTGAGCATGCGTGTGTGTGTGCATGCGTGCATGTGTGCGTGCGTATGTGTATATAATATATACATACTTATGCACGCATGCACGCACGCACGACGCATGCGCACACACGTGTAATTGAAGACCTAGAGCATACTGTTGTGATAGTGTAATCAGGCTTTCATTTTTAAGGGGCGCGATCGCGCTCGCGCTCCACCG